TATATATATATATATTAAAATAGATATACCCGGAATATTGACTTGTAACAAACGTTATGTGATTTAGTGGGGTGTTTAAGTGAGCATTTGTAAAATTAATATTGAATGCAATTAATTTTAGTACAAATTCTGATTCAAAATCGAAATTTTGAAACCAAACATGTAAGCATATAAATAAAAATCATATTTTAGGTTTCAATCCGCCATCTCATAACTAATATTCATTTTTCTCCAAACCAATTAAAATATATATTCTTTAAAAAATTTATAATTAATGTATTTCAACAAATTAAAAAAACACATTTTATTTAAAGATATTTTAGTCTAAAAATAATTAATATATAAGACACTATGAATTAAATCTTACATAACTAAATAAACAATTGTTCAAAATTAAGTCTTATAAATACAAACATCAGTACTAAAAGTTATATTCTCCACCTATATCTAGTTATCTGTGAATAGTCCAATATCAAGTGAAACAAGTGAATAATATATGACTCGATGAACCCAAAAACAATAAATAAGACTCTAATACCATCCGAGAAATATAGATTTCGATATAATACAACCAAACAAAATCAATTTATCAAGAGTTAATCCTAACCCCACTTATATACGCCACTTTAATCAGATCACCAGCCGATGAGATAGATATTCATCAGGTTACTATGACCTAAAACCAAAAGCATTTTGCTGTGATATATTATTATAAAACATATTTCAATTACAGAATTGTTGCATCCCACAGGGAAAAAGTTTAAATGAGGAAAGAAAAAAAATACATGGCATCGCCCTTCTGATAGATTGGCCGGGAATAGAGAAAATCCTGCACAGAAAAATTAAAATTTGCGTGCTACAGCGCTCATGGCATAAGCCAGTGAATGCATATTCTTTAGCCCAAGGCAGTTTGGAAGGCGACTAAGGACTTCAACCAAAGTGAATAGTAAGCGAAACAATATGAAATCTCCAAGGTAAATTTATGTCGCGTATTAAGGCCGGTGTGAGAAACCATCGAGTGTTTTCTTTTACTCATTTTATGATTAAAAAAAAAAAAAAAGAACTAAACCTTACAATCATGATAAGAAATTCTTACAAAGAACATTGATGCATCCTCTAAATTTAAGCTTGATAAATAGCGATAAACTAATAAGCTTAATAGTATCAGGTTCCAAAATAAAAATGATAATAATCACCTGTTAATTTTGCACTGCTGACTACCTTCAGATGGTCCACGTATCAGCAGTTGAAACTTGAGATAAGGTAATGTTCTATGAGTCGATTGAAGAGTGACAAAATTCTGCGTGTGGATTGGATGCAGTGACACCTGCTGAGAGTTGGCCAGGCTGAAGAGATATACACACCCGATTGGTCCCACTACTTCGTTTTCTTCTCCTTTTCAACCCGAGGATTTTGGTATGCTATTATCTGACTTAAGATGGTAAAATTTGTTGCGAAACCAATTACATAGCCCAATAGAACTTCAAAAGAACAAAGGAACGGTCACAATTATATGAAATAGTAAAGAAATAAATTTACAATGGGCAACACTTCTAGAGACACAAAAAAAGTGAAATGACTTTGAAAAGGCTAAGTATCAAGTCAAGGAGACAGAAGACATGATTTAAAAGAAAATTATAAGTTAAATCTCATAGACAATAATGGAAACAATAGGTAGGTGGCTTTCAATATTATCAACATATTTAAAAAGGAAACTCTTGAAAAGTAACAGTTTTTCTTAGCATGCATTAGGCCATTACATCATAAGTCAACATTTACACAAGTACATAAAAGCATTGAAACATGGAATCTTCTGCTCCTTAAGGCTTAAGAAAAGCAAGTCTATTCAGTAGATCATCCAAGGGATCTGTGTACCATATGTTACTTCATATAATATATAATATTTTATCATGTGCCACAGACTCATGGCTCATCCTTAAGAAAATCAGTGTCCTGTCTTGCACAGGGACCCACAATTTCTTGTGCAAGAAACCATAAATCTTGCTCTTATTTCTAAGAAAAGGAAGATACAAATCATAGCACTCAATACAATGTAGTCTTTAGCTACAAACAGTGGTTTAGTTTGTCTCTTAATTTCATAAGCAAAATTAAGAACAATTTCATATAAATGGGGAAAATACATACATGGAGAATAGCTTTTGGAAATTTGAACCATTTTTCAAACCATGAAAATTAAAAACAACAAACCACACCCCCTACAAGCAAAATAATTGAAGCACGAAAATCAGACTTGTTCTACCCCCTGTGCCAATTAAACACCTTTTGGGCATTAGCTTAACTTTGAAATTTAAAATACACTATAAACTCATCCAAAATCATAAAATACTACTGCGGGAGAAGTTAGAGAATATCAACATCCTAGAAGTACAAGAACCCAATACAAAGGGAAAAAGAAGCCAGATCATGAGAATTCCCCAGATTATTTTCAATGTCTGTGTGTGTGTGGCTTCTTTGCTTAAGATGTAAGACGTGGATTGAACAATTTAGTTTTACAGGAGAGGTTTCTGAAAGAGGAGGGGTGAGGTAAAGAATTATCAAGACAATAACAGGGAATGAAAGTTTATGAGAGCAATGCTAGAGATTGAGAATAAAACAGGCAAAACAGAAAGATAGCTACTCACTTTCTATCTGTCAAAGTGTTTTTCACAAAAAATGCAGACAGAAAAACATAATAGCTGGTGAGGTTTGTTAAATTTTCAGTGAAGCTATTGAAGAGGATTTTTGACATTGCTACTAAATGAATTTGGTTGATTACAAGATTGCTACTTTGAAATCACGTTGTTTCAAAGGAAATTTTTTGAAAAATATCTTCAAATGGTTTTCACTTTTCTGTTGTCAAAATTGAGATACAGACATCTTCAAATTGTTTCCACTATTCTGTTGTCAAAATTGAAGATAAATGTTTCTAAAATCAGTAATTAATGGTCCTAACTCCTCAGTGTTAAGAGACTATTTGGTTTGAAAAAATGTTTTCAATTTTCAACTTCTAATAAATAATTATAAAAATGTCACCGTTTATGATGATTTTTTATTTTAAGATTCATATAGAAAACTGTGAAAACAAAGTGACATTTTGTGAAAACAAGAAATGAAAATAGAGAATGTTTTCTTAAACCAAACAAGCCCTATGTCTCAAAACAAATAAGCACTACAATTAACACCAAAAACTGTGTTAATATTCATTGACAATGATGACAACAACAGAAGACATGATGAAAACAAATTACGAAGCAAGCCTACCAGTTTTGGGTGCATTTTCTTGGATGGTGGTGAATACTCTAACTGCAACGACATAAAAAAATATATATATAAGTATGCAAACAACACAAACATTAACCTAAATCTTATTTTATTAAAGTCACAATGGCTTACCCATCGAACCTCCGACATTCATAAAACAAGTTAAGAAGCTGAGTTCCCCTGTACTTTTGTTCTGCTCAAACATAGTTACAAATGATGAATAAGAATGGTGAAAACAACTTTGCAACAAACTTCATCAAATGAAACATTTTAAATAAAAAACAACTATGAATAATCTAGAGGCAATAATACAACTTTTCTTCTTTTAGCATAACCACATCAAGAGAATTCAAAGCATCCTAGCCTTTCATCACATAGAAGCAGCAAAAGCACCTATTTTTCTTGAAAATGCATGTAGGAAGGAAATTATGGCATGCTCAAAAACCAAGTTTCTTGTATGTAATTAGTGTTAAGTAAGACATTCGCATACAATGAAAGAACCCATTTACTCATTACCTAAGAGGAAATAAGTAGCTATTCTGACTGCAGATTCAAATATTGTACATGCAAGTACTAAAAAAATAAGTTTATCAGTGTCATGACAACTAGGTATCTTTTCCAATATACAGAACAGGCCTTTATTAATCCACTTACAGAAAAGTTTTGCCATATTTGTGGGATCCTCGCAAAGAGAAAGATTGCATGCTGGGATGCCTGCAAAAGATCATATCCACATCAAGAAACTATTAAGCAGTGAGAACCTTGTAACCAATGTAATCATAAAACAAAGGCTAAAATGTTCAACATCATGAATGGAATACAAAATATCATAGTTATCAATCTTGGATAGTGGTGTAGCGTGGTGTGGACGACCCCCAAAAAAGGGATAGTGAGATGAACACTATCCTAATATTTTTTTTGATATATATATACAGGGGACTTATCCAGTGAGAAAGCCATTTTTATGAGTGAGAAGTAAATCTAGACCAGACAACCATGCATGAATGGTAAAGATTTAATGTTATGTGACCACTTAAGAAGTTGTGTGATTTTTAAAAATCTCACATGACTTCCAGCGTGTTTGGAAAATCCTTTTTTTAACGAAAACGTAAAAACACACTTTCCAAAGCACCAAAATACAAAGCAACTATTTCTATCTTTTCCGTTCAACATACGTTTGTAAAATTTTAACAATAAAACAAACACACACTTCATTGTTTGAATCTTGATCATTCATGATAAGATCTAGAGGTCAACATTTATTCCTCTCCATCTAAAGAAAGACCCTCTCACTAGACAAACTTCCTATTTATATATATGCTTAATAACAGCAAGAGTCAAGTAATATAAAAGAAAAACCTACATGAAAGAAAGAATGTAAAACAAAACATAGACCCCTCTTTGACATGAATAGAACACACCCTAAAGGATGTGAACAATATAGAGACCAGAGAACATCATTTCAGAGTTCCAGTGTGGGTTGGCCGGAAAGTCATCCAGATGTTATGGGTTGGCTGGAAACTACACTGAAATGCCATGAGTTGGCCATAAACACAGCTGGGAGCTGTGTCAGATGGTTTGCGTTGAAGGGAGAAGAAACCAGCATTATTTAGCCTTCAAAGTGGAAAAATAGGATCAGATAAAATAAAAGTGGTGGCCTCCCCCTTTTATTGAAACTAGTATCTTCCACAAATGGTGCAATAACAGCCATGATTCAACCCACTCTAGGTGAAACAGTGAACTGCGATTCAATGGATTCAACAGAGCAGCCCATAGCAGCAATGCTTTTTCAATGCTGCTATAGCGGCACTATAGGGTGCGATTGACTGGTATGCAACAGATTCTTTTAGAAATAAATATAAAACCATTAGCAAATCTTCACCTAACAACTTATGCTTTACGAATATTCCACTCATGAAATGGTATCAAAGCCTCTACCACCAAGTGGTCTATAGTTCAATCCTTGCTACCCTCATTCTTCAAATAAACAACGTTTATTGTGCATTTCATGCTTCAAGCTCAGAATCTTGTGAGTGCCAATACTTGATATAAGGGGAGTGTATTAGATTGGGATTTTATAAGACTTTTTTAGCTAAAAAGAGTCTTGTAGATTTTAAAAGACTATAGGAATTTATTGACTTTTAAGATTTTTTAAAAAGACTTTGTAGGAATGTAATGACTTTTAAGATTTTTTTTAAAAGACTTTTTTAATCAAGATTTTGTAATATGAATTTTAATCGATTTGTATCTTAAGATTTGAAAGGATTTTATCAGATTTCAAAGGACAATATTGATTTTTAAAAAAAGTACAATTAATTAAAAAAAAAAAAAAAACAAATGACAAGGTTTGAATAAAGAAAATAAAAATCAAGATTTTGTAATATAGATTTTGATGAATTTGTATCTTAAGATTTGAAAGGATTTTATTAGATTTCAAAGGACAATATGAATTTTTAAAAAACAATACAATTAATAAATAAAAAAAACATAAATGACAAGGTTTGAATAAAGAAAATAAAATCAATAAATTTTTCAATCTTTTAATAAACAATTGATTCTGTTTTCATGTCTTTTTAAGTAACATTTCTCTACATATAATCCTCTATGCCTTTATATTTTATCATTCATACTATTGAATTTGAACAATATGTTCAAATTTATGCTATTCATTAACAAGTAGGATTGTCAAAGTATATTTTTAATACATGTTTAAAAAATTGATATTTCAATATTAAATTTTATTGAAAATAAACATTTGTTAAATTTTCACAATATATAATATAAATAATTAATAATTAAAATACAAATATTGATAAATTATACATCAATATTGATAGATAAAAATGTAACTAATAAAATATTGATAGATAAAAAACGATAGGAGAAAATATAGAGAGAAGAAGAAGAAGAAGAAATAAATGAGAGATGAACAAAAAGAGAAAGAAAATATGAGATAGAAAAGACATGAGAATAGAGAGAGAGAGAGAGAGTAAAGAGAAGATGAGAGAGAGAGAGAGTAAAGAGAATATGAGAGAGAGAGAGGAAAAAGAGAGAAGCAAAAAAGGTGAGAGAGAGAAAAAAAAAAAAGGCAAGGAGAAATAAACGAAAAACAAAAGTCATGCAAAATCTCAAATGTTTTTGAGATAGTTGGATAATTGAATTATATGTGAATTCTACTAAAAAGTCTCACAAAATCTATCATTCAAAATAATCCATTAAAATTTTTATGTTTTTGAGTACCGGCAGACTTTTTTTAAATGAAAAAAGGTCTTAATTAAATAATACTATATTTTAATGTACTACTAAAAAATTCTTATTGTCTTTAATTGAATACCGTTAGATTTTGATGTATTCTTAATTGTCTTAGTTGAATACATCATGACTTTTTTATATTAAAAAAAGTCTTGATTGAATACTAGAAGACTTTTTTATAATAAAAAAAAAGTCTTTTAAATTCTTTGAAATCTCAATCCAATACACTCCCTTAAATTAAATATAAAACATATTTTCATCTAACAACTTAAACTTTTGGCATAGTTGGTTCGTGACAGAATTAGTTAGAGAAAAATTTCAGCAGCATAAGTAAATGAATTTTCAACATAAAGTTGTTACTCACATACAGAGCTTCAAAGAGGAGAGGATCAATTTGACCAGCTAAGACAGTGGGTGCTACAGCACAATATCTGAAAACCAAAGCGTCAAGGAAATGATCGAGTATATTCAATTATATTGCTTAAAACCAGAATAAAAGCCCAGTTTTCAGCTAGTGAGTAGGATACAGCAATGCCCGGATCCATGTTATTGTCTTCAGAGGTCGAGAATAGTAGTAGATTACAGAAACCAATACTAAAGCTGTATCAAAAAATAGAGAGGAAGAAGCAGTTAGCTAACTCCAAGAAAATGGAAGCATGACATAGCTATATGCCTAACAAAAATAGATCAGTACAACTTGCATGATCTAAAGCCTATGATACTTGTGCAAGTACTAATTTCAGAAAATCACACAAAATTAGTCAAAATCATTATCAAAATGAGGTAGCACAAAAAAGTCTAGATAGGACTCTACCAGGCAATAAAGAAGGTTTGCAAAGAAAGATTCAAACATGGCCAATTGACCAGCTCTTGTGTAATAAACCAGGACAGGAGACTGTTCAAAATAATTTTGATTTAACTTTTAAGAAAAAGATATCCAGACAAAGGCATGTTTAGCTTTATAGTGCAAGCTAAAACATTTCAGATTATGTGATCTTCCAGACTACATCTCTTAGGAATTCCAATTATCAACTATTAAAATATAACTTTCCAGTGACAACTACCAGAAAATCGACCCCCAAAATGCATTCCTTGACCAAAAGCCCATTAAGAATCTTGTGGGCTAACAAGGCTCATAAACTTAAACTCATACTAAACTCTGGCCTAAAACACTACACACAAATCAGAAACTGCAAAATAAAATAAAATATCTAGAGTTACAACAATGACCATGCTACTAAATATTTTCTTTCACACCTCTCCTAAATCACAAAATAAGGGTAAGTAACATATTTTGAAAACAAGCATGATAGTTTTGATTATCCCACGTCCAAATCCTCTTAGTTAGACTCAAGTAGTGAAAATTGGGAAAGCGCCTATTTTTGTGTATCAAAAGTCAAGCTTATGCAGTGGCAGAGGCAAGAGGTAGTAGGGTCCAAAAGAAATATGGTTCACAAAAGCAAACTCAATGGTGTAGCCTATGGACATCGATGACTTTACTTTAACTTGCCAAGATAATGAAATAATAATAGATAAACTATATTACACCAATAAATCCAGCCCTGATCTCAACCCAATTCAAAAGAGCATGACATAATATAATCATTGTATGGAAGCACGACCATCGAAGAAGAAGAACAAGAAGGAGAAGAAAAAAACGCTAAAATGACACGAAATCTGATAACATGAAAGGATACAAATGAATCTAATTGGATATAAGTGATGAATTTTGGACACCCAAGTAAATAAAACACCCCCATTAACTTCCATAAATTCTGTTTATCTCTTTCTTCTTATCTCACATGTCATCAATCATATCAATCGCTTATCTCTCATCTCTTCTCGTCTCTTCCTATCTCTATCAAGGTGTAGACACCTCCTGGGTGTCCAAAATTATTTTTTTTTCTATAATCATCACTCTTAATTATATTCATACACTTCCTGTTTTATGTCAAACCCTAAACACCATACATAGTATAAGTCTGATATTCTTTAAAACAACACACATCATAATTTGGTGCTAGGGAATTTCGTCCTATACATCAGTTCCGGGTGGAGGAAAAACAGAGAACAAAAAATAAGCAAAATCGGTTAGCGCACCTTGGATCAAAAGAAACAACAACTCTCCGTAAGCCGAAAACGGAAGGCCTTTGCTGAGGCAGTAAGCCAAGGCGATGGTATATCCAACAACTTCAAGCTCGAAGGATATCATGCTAAGACCTCTCACACTCTGATGCTTCAGAATCTTCAAAATCTGAAAAATTAAAGCGAAGGCGAACACGACTGTTCCGAATTCATAAGAAAACCCTAACGCTAACGGAAAATCTAGCAGGAAACGGAATTATGAAATAAAAGGGAAAATCAAATGAGACGGTGCCTGAGGGAGCTTGACGGTGGTGGAAGCGGCGACGATGGCGTAACCGAGAAGTTTGGAAATGAGAGGGAGCAAGCAATCCTTGTCGGGAAAGTTGCCGTTGCGGAGGGATCCCACGGCGCAGCTCAGATCAATCCCTAGATATTCCATCCTTCGATCTCAACAAAATGCTTCGTTTAGTAGCGATTTTGTTTTCTTATGTGAAAGGGTTTATAGACTAACTGATGTTTTTGTTTGTTTGAGTTTTCTTCGCTCGGTTTGGTTGATTGTTCTTTCATATACAATGATTTTGATAGAAGTAGATTAAAATAACTATATTTACTAAAAAAGAAAAACAAAAAAAAACAGAAAAACAAAAAACACTACGTGTTTACACCATATTAAAAGAAAAAAATTAATAATTATTCATAAATAATTTTAGAGTAAAATAAGAATCTGCGATTATTTATGAGTAGTTTCTTTAATAAAATAAATATAAAAAAATATTAATATGAAGAAAATAGTTTTAAAAAATTATAGAAAATAAATAAATATTAAAATAAAAATTAATAATAATTATTAAAATGAATATGGATTTATTTACTTGAAGGTTGAATATGTTTTTGAATTCGATTAAATACAGTTTTAG